ATCAAACAATCGGGCACTACTCCTGCACAGCAGCAACAAGACAGAACTAACTGGTGCTGAGGATCTGCGCACATAGCCAGCACACTGCGGATTTCTTGCCGCTAATCGAATTAAAGCTTAGTATGCTCGTAGAAACAACAGCATATGCAGGAGGGCCGCCTGCCAGCATCCGCTCGCAACAAAAGGATCGATTCGCCTGTTTACTTTTACATTCATTTCCGGGGAAAAATTTCGATGCAGCATAATTTCCAAGGATCTCACTTTCGCGACAAGGCAAGGCGGGAAAGAGCGGTGCTGCCGCGGGCACTGCACTTGTGCCTGCTGCTGCAACAACATTCAAGTGCCCGAAAAGGTGCAGGCAGCTTGACCTGCGAGAAATAGCCGCATCAACCGGCGCGCGCTTGCACTGGGCTTTGGTTCTCGAAGCCATGCAATGAAAATGAGTAACCCAAGCTGGGACGCACCAGGCTTGCCGGTGCGAACATGCGTTTTTGCATTAAACTTGCAGATCGCTGATAGAAGGAATGGTAGCCTACGCTGCAGCCTAATACTTGGGTTCATACTGGCCGTGCTTTGGCCCCTTCCGGCATGCAGGTGGAAGGGCGTCGGTTGGGGTGAAGGTGTTGCATTGTAGGGCAGCATGGACCTCCAGGTACATGATTGCCAGTTTTTCGCATGAAGCCTGGTCGTTTCCCCGGTAAATGCTCGCTGTTTGAAAAAATGCAAATCTCATGGAAGTCGGAAGAGGATTATGAACTCTTCAAAACGCATTCGCTTTGAGTAGAATTAAAGACTGTACATGAAAATAGAATATCCCAGTGAAGTTTCAGCCTCGCATCTTATTCGGTAAACGAAATAGCCACTTCGCTGCAACTATCTTTGAAGTACCCTAAGTCGTGGCGCAGTGGGCGATATGTTGGCAAGATTTTAGCCACTGTTTTCCGGCAAGTTTTCGAATTAGCACAGTACCAAGTACAAACTTTGACGTAACAGTACGCGCTGCACAAGTGTGCGCGACAGCTGAATTTGAAATCTTTAGCTTGCACACGCACAAAGAATATCCCTGCAAAGTTTCAGCTTTGTATCTTGCCTGATTCACGAACTCGTTCCCCGCCGAAGAAATTCGCATATTTTTCTCGGGATTCCGTACGCGAGATCTAGGGGCGTATGAGTGAAAATTTTAAAATGGGGGATGACATACGGGGTGGAAATATGTCCCCAAAATTTCACCCTCCCAGCTTTTCTGGTTGGTAAGTTGGAAGTGCGTGACAAAGTTCACTCGCTTCCGAACACACACACACACAGACTACTCGACAACATGCGTTCTTGTTGGCTGTTGCAACGCTATTGCGCTACACAGCAAAAAACGCATAAATTGAGCAACTTCTTGGATGCAAATAGTATTAAGGCAGAGCGAATTCACAATTACGATTACAATCTCAAAACTGGGAGAGGCTATGTATGCGTAGGGCATCACGGAACCAGCCCGGGCACGCGCTAATGGATTTTTCAGTCGCCGGCCGGACATCACTGTTTTAGCTGCTGTATGCTTACATCTGCTTCTATTTGTCCCTCACGCTTCTGATCCGTCTGTGACAGCCAGCAACTCCACATACAAAGATCCAACGGAGTTCGGCCGAAAGGTGATTTCAGTCCGAAAGCAGAGATCCGATACCAATCCCTGCAGTATGCAATGTACGCATTAACATAC